CTTTGCCTAGCAACCATGAGGCCCTGAGTTCAACTCCTAGTACTGCTCTCCCACCATGTTTTCCACCTATTCCTATATTTTCCCCTTTGTTTACTTAGGACATGAAGGTGAAATTCTAGTAACTTCCATCCATGATCCACATCATTTCTCTTTGAATTTGAATGAGACCTGGAATAGAAAGTCATCACTCTTAAAATTGTTAAATTACATGGCAAAAAAAAAATCATTTTGGTGGGCCTAATCAGAAACTTTTTTTTTTTTTTTTGGCCCGTCATGGCGCTTGAACTCGGCCTGGGCGCTGTCCCTCAGCTCTTCAGCTCAAGGAGAATGCTCTACCACTTGAGCCACAGCGCCACTTCCAGTTTTCTGGTGGTTTATTGGAGATGAGTTTCCCGGTCTTTCCTGTCCGGGCTGGCTTTGAACCTCAGATTCTGAGATCTCAGCCTCCTGAGTAGCTAGGATTACAGGCATGAACCACCAGTACCCAGTTTCACAAAGACTCACTTTAGAGTGTTTTCTATGACTGGTGACCAAAGTAAGGGATTTAAAGTACGAATTGATGCATCATTGCTTGTTTTGAAGATGTAGGGACCCTCAACAACTGAAATCTGTTCCTGATACCATTTACGAGTGCTACAACCATAAGGAATAAGATTCTGTCAAAAACTTGCAAGAACTTGAACTGTCTATCCAGTACCTCCTGGTAAGAAGTCACTGACACCTGGATTCCAGCTTTGTAAGATCTCAAGAGAATCAAATCAAGCTCACTAGAACAAATGGCCTCCAGATCTGTAACAGGTTTTTCTTTTGTTTGTTTGGTTCTTTTGCCAGTCCTGGGGCTTGAACTCAGGGCCTGGGCACCCTCCCTGAGTTTCTTTTGCTCAAGGGTAGCACTCTACCACTTGAGCCACAGTGCTACACTGTTTTTCCTGCTTATGTGGTACTGAGGAATGGAACCCAAGGCTTCATGCATGCTAGGCAAGAACTCACTAAGCCACATTCCTAGCCCCTGTAAACAAGTTTAAGTTACTAACTTGTTAAGATATTATGAAGCAATAAACACAGGCCATTAAATTGTTTGATCCTAACTACTCAGAAAACAGAAACCTTAAGTAATTCTTTTGGCCTACCAATTCTTATAGGTGTTTGAGACACATAGTACTTTGAACTAAGAAAGTAAGTCTGGGACTCTTTGATTTAGACAAGTCAGGCCTTACTCTGGTTCTGATTGAGAGTAGGGTCAAATTCTACTCTGGAAGGTTATCCAGGATGACTGTTACTCAACTGAAAGAACATAAAAATGTATACAATAAGGAACGGAAACCAAACACAGTAGAAAAAAAACTAAATAGAAATATTAAAACAGAATGCATGCTACTGAATATAGAAGGAGCAATATGAATCCCTCTATAACCAACTGAAATAACAGAACTACATCTAAATATGCTCACAACTGCAGTTTCAGGTCAATAACCAGGATGTTTTCAGTTACAAAACTTTAAATGACAGATTTTCCTTTTCTTTCTTGTTCTTTCTCCTTCATCCCCATGGGAATGAAATTTTAAAAGTGTCTTTACAACTCCAGCCAAGGTTATAACACTTACCTCCCTATCTTCCTTACCACTGAAAGAACATTCAGTAACGTTAAGAATGCAACTCTAGAAACTAATACCAGTACACAAAGAAATTACAGGCCCCAAGGCCACCACCACACAGTCCAAAGTTATGCATCTCAAGTATGCACATCTGGAAGCCCAAGGTCCTAGTTTTTCTATATAGAGTTCTTCCCCCCTGCCTACCAGGATTGTGCCTCTCTCTCTGGGATTCCAGCTCAAGCAATCTCCATTTTGCCTGGCAAATCAAATACTTTCATTTCTTCAGAGAACTTGATCTCAGTATTTGCGAACTGGCATTTAGTTCAAGGGACTAGATTTCTGGTATCAAAACAAACTTTGACAAGTAGATAATTCATTTTCCTGAGTGAAAGCCATAATAAACATGTGAAACAGTAACACATTAACAGAAGGAATGAATCTCTTCTAAATTAATGGAAGTAGTTGTAAAGGACTGCTGACAGAAGAAAAAATTTTGAACTATATGAAGACAATTGTTCTGTAAGAATCTGATTAGAAAGATAAGAACTTACAAAGGCTTCTTAGGTGAGCCACTGTAACCCTAACTATTCAGGAGTCTGAGAATTGAGGATCGAGTTTCAGAGACAAGTGGGCAGGGAAAGTCCATGAGATTCTTATCTCCAAAAACAACTCAGAAGAAGCCAGAAATGGTATTGTGGCTCAGGGACAGTTCAAGCCCCAGGGCCAAAAAAAACCACAAAACTTTTTAAACAAACACTACAGAGAAAACTAGGCAGTAAAATTAAATTGCTTTCAAAGAATAAAGATCAGATTGATTCACCATCTTTAGCAGTTAAACTTACCCTTTCGGCCATCATGACCCATATTCACTCAATATCCAATCCACATTGGTATTGCAGATGCCACTCTTACTTAGTACATTTGACTTGTTGTATTCTTCCATTCCTCCCTCTTATACTTTATTCCACCTGCTTTCCCTTTAGATGGCAGTTTACTCCCATTTTTGGAAGTTAAAAAAAAAAAGATCTGGGCCCAAAACAGGTAATGACACAATAGCATATAATGAGGTTAAAAGAATTGTGCTCAGTTGTGTTCTTTGGATCTTGAGCCATTAGTGGATTTTATGAAATTAGGAGTGCCTTGCTGTGTTTTAGAGGATGGATGGCTATTGTACTGAGATTAGGCTTGGTGAACACAAAGGTGGAAGAAGACAGACAACTACAGATGAAAAGTGGTAAGATTTGTACAGTTTTGAAACTTTGTAGACACAAAGGTGAAAGGAAGGCAACTAGAAATGAAAAGTGGTCAGCTCTGTACTATTCTGAAAACTATTTCTAGTTGGGTAGAGTGAAAGTTTTCATTTTTTTATTCTGAAATTTTCATCACCTTTTAAAAGTAAACCAGAACTTTCATTATCTTTAAATGGTTGTGCAAAGGGGTTTCTATTTAATGTTTATTTTTGTGTACAATGCATCTTGATCAGTGTCACCCTTTCCATCGCTCCCCTCCCTCTTTCCATTTTTGACTTTGAGCAATTGGTGGAACAATTTCAGTTGATGTTATCATCAGCTAAAAGGGGTGAAATTTTAAGTAGATCCAGTTTGGGAAAGTTTTAGATGTTCATTTAGAATTTTAATACAGATTTAAATTGGTAGTTGGTTATATACATCTGGAATCCAAGAGACATTTGGTAATAGAGATTTTAAAAATCTACAAATTGTCATTATAAAGCTTAGAAAGCAATGCAATTGGAACAGGTGAGAAAGCAAGCAGAAATAGAGAAGCACACCAAAGGACAGACACACAGAAGCAATTAAAAAAAAAAGACTGAGAAGAGAAAGATGCAGCCAAAAGACTGAGCTGTATAACATAGCAGAATGGCTCAAGAAGTGGTTAGTGTGCTGGTGTGTGTGTGTGTTTATCAAGAAAAGAATATCTAGGATATCTGGTTATTTTTTGTTAACAAATCAAAATCATTTTTAAAAGTGAAGATCCAACGTATATTACTTCTCTGGAAAAATAAAACCGTGATAAATGGCAGTCTGGGATGATAGGATATTAGAAGAGATGAAACTTATTGAAAAGCTGAAGACTGCTCACTTAAATCAGGATATAAGAATAGTTCAAATAAGGGCCATACTTCGGTAAAAACACACATATACATGGGGTATCATTAGTTGTGAACACTAAATAATGGGAACGTGAACTACTGATTTTTAATATTTTAGATGTGTTTTCTCATTTTTTTTACAATACTCACACATTAATTCTGTGGCAAAATGTTTTAAACATTTACCAAAGGAGATGTAATGTATGAAACCAGTGAAGTTTGAAGACTGAGCAACAAAGCAGTCACTGGTGACCTTGACAGATACATCTGAGTATAGAAGCAAAACCTAAGTGAAACACATGGATGTACCTCAAAATGTTGAACACTGAATTCCTGTATGACCAGCCAATACACAATTGCATTCAACAAGTGAAAAACACATTCGTAGAATAACTTGACACACACATTCATAGTATTCCAAACATTTGTAGTAGCCCAAAATAAAAACAACCCAAATGTCCATAACAGGTGATTACACCTGTACCGAAGAGTAACACAAGTGGCCCATTCCATCTTGAGGGTTCCACAACAAACCATACATTATTTTGGGGGAAATGTGCATGCATTCAACATGTACAGACATTTTCTCTTTTTTCTTTCTGTTTTGTTTTGTGTTGTGTTTTGTGAGTCCTGGGGCTTGAACTCAGGGCTGGGCACTGTCCCTGAGTTTCTTTTGCTCAAGGCTAGTCCTCTACCATGTGAGCCACAGCACCACTTCTGTTTATGTAGTACTGAGGAATCAAACCCAGGACTTCATGCATGCAAGGCAAGCACTCTACCACTAAGCCCTCTGCTTTCTTACATAGTTATCTACATAGAATTTACATTGTATTAAGTATTATAAGTAATCCAAAATTTATAGTGACAGGAACATGAGAAAAATGCAATGCTACACCACTTTCACATAAGAAACTTGAACATCCAAATTGCGGTATCCTGGGGGACTCCTTGAACTAATCTACAAATACAGAGGGATAACTATATAGCCATACTATGGAATATTGTTCGGCATTAAGTAATGAAGGATTGACACATGCTACAGCACAGATAATCCTTGAAAACATTAGGCTAAGTGAAAAAAATTACAAAAAAAAATGATCCCAAGAATATGAAATGGAAACCAAGTGTTGCTTAGGTCAAGGGGGAAAGAAAATGAGTTGACTGTTAATGGGCACAGGCTTTGTTTAGGGATGGAAAAAGTGTTGTAAAGAGAAACACCTCTAAATATAATAAAAAATTTTAAGGGTGAATTTTATGGCATGTGAATTATATATCAATAAACATGATACTACACATACAAAAGAGTTTTTATTTCACTCCTGTTCAGTATTTTATTTACTATTTTCTCTTTTGTAGTCATTGTAGTTACTAACCTCTTATTTCCAGAGATTTGTAAATTATTTGTAATCAACTTACTCTATTCTTTTTAATCTGTTATATAACCTTAAACTCTTCTAAATAAGAATTACCTAGAAAGAAAAACACATGCTTCTACTAAGAAAAACTATACTTTGCAGTTTGAGATCAAATGTGACTATTGTTAAGATCTACCTTTCATACAATCTAACCAAAAAAGAAAAACAAGAGCTGCTACCTAACATCATTCGAAAACCAAGTACAACATCACCAAATAGCCTGAATTCCAAATACCGTTAGGGATTACATAACATAACTTTGCAAAGAGAATTCTAGAAAGAGGACCTTTCACTCTTGAGGAACAATTGAATACTCAACGCTGTCATTTGTTTTGAGAAACAAATGTCAATAATGGTAAGTAGAAGATACTATCATTTTATGAGTATGACTGAGAGAGTATAACCTCAATGGTAAAGTCGATTTATAGCTAGTTTCCTTTCCTGGCTTGTAGAATTTCAAAATACAACAATTAATTATTGTTGGAGTAACACCTAGCAATTTGGTTAAAGATACAACAACAGAAACTGTACAAATATTTAAACTTTGGGAACTGTAGTTAAAGTAATAGAAAAATATTAACTCTTTCCACAAAAAAAGGTATCTAATGGTCCAGATACCCCATGTAGTTTATTCATAAGTCATGTGAATCAACAACATTTTCTGTATTCCTTAAAATTTTGTAATACATAAAAAGGTTTTGTATTCAAAGACACTTTCAAAATGCACCTGTAACTAACTTGGTTTCAGTTACCCACAGTCAACTGCTGTCCAAAATATTAAATAGAAAACTCTAAAAAAGTTTCCTATGTTTTAAAATATATGTCATTAGTGTGATGAAATCTCTCAATGTCCTGCTTAGGACATTAATCATTCTTTTGTCCAAAGTATCCACACTGTATACAATACCTGCCCATTATTCACTTAAGTAGATGTTTGGGGTTACTGAAGTTACTATCATATTATTACAACATTTATACAGAGGATTCAGTACTGTCTCCAGTCTTTTAAGTATATGACATTATTTTTGGTGCATCTTCTTACGCATTTCTTCAAGAGCGGCTTCTTTCTCCTTCAGTACTTGTTTAAGCCTTCTGATTTTTTCATCTCGGATGGTTTCTTCCAGTTCTGGTGGTGTCACTGGGAAAACATCTTCAGTGTAATTTTTATTAAAGGAATGACTCTGTTCAAAAGCTACATTAGGACTCATTATTTCTTTCTCCTGCTTCTCAAAGGAGCAGTGTTCAATCTCTGCACTTTTTTCTTCTGAGGTTTTTCTGTGGCTTGTGACAAAGTCACGTTGTAACGCATCTGAAGCTGGCAAAATACTGCTAACGGTTTGGGAACTGGTGACATCAATTCCTCCATTTATGACTGCATTAAATGCATTCTTGGTTTTTCTCTTCTTTGTGTGATCCATCTTAACTGTTTTTGCTTTCCTTTTCTTACCAAAATTCTGTTGCCATGTAAAGATTCAAGAACAAGGAATGTTACTACCATATATTTATTTATGTATAAAATGTGCTCTCAAAATTAACAAGTTTGCAGATACATATATCTAGTGATTAAAGTTGGTTCAATGAAATTGAAAGGGAAAACAAGGGAAGGGGAGATATTATCCAAAAGGAAATGTACTCTTTGCCTGACTTATGTAACAGTAACTCTACATTTTCAAATAAAAATACTAATAAAGAAAATGAATTGTAATATCCTAATTATATTTGTGGTGAACAAGCTGCTAAAGTCAAGTATTAGAAGCTGTACTGACTTACTACCATCAACATAAAATGAAGCCTGTGAAGTATGTGAGAATTCAAAGTAGGCACACGCAGAAATTTTTCACTGGCAAAGGTTAAAGTTCAGAATTCCAGATGATAGTGTAGTAAGTAAATGACAATAGGTAAAATTACAGTGGCATTTCTTTCCGTTATGATTAACCATATGGGTTACTTAAAAATATGCAGTTAATACTGCAATAACCACCTACATGTTTGCATTTTAGATTAGAATTAGATTATAATTCTTCAAAGAATATGTTAAAATGCACAGGGCACTTTCATAAATATAGTAGACAAAAATAGGTGAATTAAAAACAAAGCAAGTTTGTTCTTTAAATGACTACATATTCTCTTATGACGAACAATAGAGAATGAAGTTTGAAAAGCAGATGTTTGCATGAAGTGAAAAGCTCACTGCTGCCAATCCTTCCAGGATGGACACTGTGTCGTATGTTCAAGCTTATAACTATACTAGTTATAGAACTGCAGTCACATGTTAAATCAACAACTTAAATTAAGTGGGGCTACATTTTTATCTGTGAACATAGGCTTCTTTTTTAACAGTTTTCCTATAACATATATATTTGCCAATCTGGTAACTAACAATCATCATTCACACAAATGCACAAGGCTAAAAAAGCATTTTACCTGTTTTCTTTCTTCTTCCTTTACCACAGACTCTGTCTCTTTGTGAACATTATTTTGCACCAAACTACTAAAGGAATGAAATCCTTTTCCAGAGCCCAGATGGTCAGGAATTCGAGTAAGGCATACTCTCAAATCCTTAGTGAGACCAAACATCTTTTTAAATTCAGCATCATTCTTCAGATATGGTGCCTTATTACTGCTTCTTTGAGAATCTTTCTTGTCATTTCTTCTTTGAATACCTTTTTCTATTGTTGAGGCCATTTCATTCTGGATCTGGAAATTTAAAAAACACACACAATACTGCTAATTACACAAGTTATTTTATCTGACAATTAAATAATCAATCTGCTGCAAAAGTATACATCTTGCTTTAAGGTCTGTATTACCTTTACCTAAAACCACACTGAAAAAACTGAATTTAGCTAAATACAAACTCAAACCACTCTCCTACAATTTCTCTTTAATTTGATGTAACATAAAATAACAAGTAGTCCATTCTCAAACAACTGAAATGAGAAAAGAAATTAATGACAACCTAAAAATAACCTAGTTGAGGATGTGATTCATGTCTGTAACTCCAGCACCTAGGAGACAGAGGCAGGAGGACTGAGAAATTGAAGCCAGCCTGGGCTACATATCAAGATCCAGTCTCAATAACAAAATAAAACACCAAATTATAATAATCTTTAATATTATTTAGAAACAGTCTTCCAGAAAATTCATTTCTTTAATTGGCTTTGTACTTAACAGAATTGACCCCCTTATATCTCTGTAGTGCAATGAATTCTGAAGTGAAGGGGAGAAATGATGACAATATTAAGGGGGCATCTAAAGAAGCAAGGAAAAAATGGGTACAAACGTTTAGTAATAACCACATATACATCTTATAAAAAGGGTAACTTATGTATATATTAAGAATTGGATAAGAAGTCCGAAAGAAATAAAGGGTAGAAAAAGGAAAAATAAACTTACCTATAAGAGAAAAAATAAACTCAGAAAAAAAGAAACCCAAACAACATTCACAAAAGAAAAACACCAAAGACACTGATAATATTCTCTTTTCACATATGACTGAAAGGTACATACAAGCCACAACACCTAAAAATCAACGAAAGAAACCCTCAAATCAAAAATAGTCCAGCTGCTCTACATGTATAGTATCAATTTCTTCACATAACACACAAGCTATTAGATACATATTTATATATATATATATATGCACATACATGTATGTATACACACAATTTTACTAATCTTTGAAGTCACATTATCCTTCCCCAACTTTGTTGCTCTTTAAGCCCTGGCTGTTCTGATGTTTATTTGATTGTTTTAAAGATTTGGTATGTCAAATGATTTAAAAGACAGACATTGCTTGGAATTTCCCGTTTGTACTCTTCAGATATTTTCCCCGAGGAAAGCTTTGTCGTGTTAAGCATTGTGTGTAAGAGTAGGGGTGCGTGAGAAAGAGCTATTAGATATATAACCTTGAGAATTAAGAAATAACTAGTTTCCACATAGTTATATAAGAATAGTACCCTGACATGGGAAAATTACCTTTGGATCTTGGTCTCTGAAAACACACTGTTGTGAAGTAACAGTTGTTGCATCAACAGAGGAATTTAGTTTCTCTATGCTCTGGATGACATGTTCTTTTCTGGGGGCAGTCTGTCCTGTACTAAATCCATCAGGAAAAAATGGCATTGTAAATAAAGTCTTACTCTGTTTTAGGCAGTTATTGGATTCTTTCATATTATGTGGGTTTGTGGTAGACAGAGATGGTTTCTCCACCTTTTTATTCTTCTCTGTCCTTAGATTGGCCATGGAAGAAAGCTGAGTATTTGAAAATGAGTTTGTCTCCATCTGGAAGGATTTACTTTTAGCCAAAACAATATTTACAACCTCTCTGGATATATCAGTGACTGGACTTGAACTCACTACCCGTGATTTCTCTTTTCTTAGTGGAATACCAGAAGATATGCCATTCCTTTGGTCAATTTGTGATGGTAGAACATCTGTGCCCTTTTTAGCTAACAGATAGACTTTCCCATTAAACATTACCAAAGCATTATCTTTAATAGGCACACTTTGGGGCTGTGCCCCACTAGGACCAGTGGTACTCAATGGAGTCATATTTACAGTATTATCTCCCAAACTTTCCTTATCTACAAAGCTTTTTAAAATCTTGGAAGCCACATTATTTGAAGACTTAACAGGAACAAGACATGGAGTATAAGGCTGTAGATTTTCTTGAAAAATCCATTTCACTGGAGCAGCTTGACCACCTTTTAAGTGTGTTTCTGCAGCAACATTCGTTGGGATTTGTGTGGTATTTAGTATCACTGTCTTTGTTCTTTCCTTAACAGGCTTTGGGTAAATATTCAGAAAGTTCTTGGTAACTACACTTTTCACTGTATTTACAGGAGACACATAAATAACTGTTGGTATTTGGGAGGCCTCAACTGTTCCTGGAGTACTTGTAGTTGTAGTTGCAAGAATCTTTTGCTGAACAGAAGGAGGCAAAGATGATGCAGGTACAGATTTCACTTCAGCGTGGGCTGGAATCTGTAAATGATGCCCAGAAGGCAAAACTGGAGACATCGCCATTGAAGCACTTGGGGTATTGACTATAAGGTAAGATGAGTCATTTTGTGTTGAGGGAGGAACAGCAAATGTTTGCATGGTGAGTCCATCAATTTTCACACCATGACTCTTAACTTTAGGAACAGATGAAGTGAAATTTTCAATTCCCACAGAAGTAACTCTACCTTTTTTTGCTGTATCTACCGTTCTTGAAAGAAAATAGTTTGAAGAACTGGCTGGCTGAAAAATGGGCAATTGAACTGATGCACTTGTGGAAGAGCTGGAAATCTGAGTCTGAAAAGTAACTTGGACTGGTTTTCCTGTATTCCCTTTCAAAGCATCAGACATGACTGAAGATTGAACTAGCGGGGTAAAATTTCCAGAAGAATTAGGAATTGGAAGTAATTGCAGAAGATTTTTTCCATCCGAGCCAATCGTCTGAACTACTTGGTACATGCAGCCTGAAACACTTAAAAGAACATTTTGAGTAAATAAATATAACATACTTCATAATATAAACATTTTAAGACAAGTATTGGTAATCATTATTTAAAATTTTAAGATATATAAAAGTATGTAATTTGCTATTTTGAGTTTTTGAAGTGAAATAATATATAATAGTTTTCGAAGAGATAAGCAAAGATATAGTCCAGCTTTGGTTTAGTTACATGATTAGGCAATGGGTATGAGATAGATATTAACAGGTATTCCTAAAAGTAGTAGTCTTGAAGGTTTTACCCTTTTCTCTTAAAACCACTGATATGCTCTTCTCCTTTCCCTTGTATCCATTCCTCTCATGCTTTTCCTTAATCTTAATGAGCAAGACTCTCATTCTACATCTTATGCTTATTCTATTTCCCCTATCTTCTCTCTTTCCTAAATCTATCTTTCCCACTGACAAAGACTCACACATTCTATTATCAATTCTTTTTTAGCTTAAGATACCTCAGGGGGTAATACTTCAGGTTTGCCACATTATTGTACTATATACAACTGAGTTATTCAGGCAGGAACAATTTTCTTTGATTATTGTTTTTACATAGTTAAGGTTTGGCACTAAATAGTTCTTAGTAAAGAAATTAGCAATGCCATAGCAATTCCAGCTAAATAATTTTAAATGAAGGTGGAACAGATGTTTTTAACCTAGCCAATTCCGATTCCCATGCTTATGAACTATCATGTTTACAAACTACAAACTGTCAGATTTTAAGAACACCAATATATATTCATCTTTGTATACTTGAGAACTCTGTATAATTGGGAATTATTTGAATGTAATTCTTTCAGCTCCTATGAGATGCAGGACACATTTCACTTTATCTAGTTATTCCTCCCCTGAGCAACAATTCATAGAGCTCAAGTCACAGCATGAATGATGATATCTAAGAAAATATTATCTGACCAACTTAACTATCCTCGCTTTTCCTTCCTAATCAACCTATATTATAGTATTAATATGTGTTTGCATGTTTATAGACTTTCTCATGTTGAATTCTAGCAACAAAACTGCAGAGTCCATGTTCCACAAACCCAGTATAGTCTTAGATGACTGAAAAACAAATGAAGACGAAAATGTATAGGTAGGTGTGAGCACTGTGACTTATACCTATAATCCCAGCTATTCATGGGAAGAACATAGTTTGAAGTTTTATGAACAAAAACTCAGGGAGACCCAATCTCAAAACACACACACACACACACACACACACACACACACACACACACACATGCACACGCACAAAGCAAGCATGGTGGTGCATATCTATAATCTCATATACGTGGAAGGCAAAGATAGGGGCAGTCTAAGACCAACCCTGAGCAAAAACAACTTGAAAAATAAACTAGAACAATAAAGGGACAGATGTGTTGCTCAAGTGGTACTACTCTAGCTAGCAGTGTAAGACTCTGAGTTCAATCCTCTTCTGCAAGTAATAATGATCATGATAAATAGTAACAATAATAATGACTTACAAGACCGTAAACTGCCTAGAGATGTTTTTATAACTCACAAATATTAATTTTTAAAAAATCAATGTTGAAAATCTTCAGGAAGTGCTATAACGGTCTTACCTTTCTGAAATCCAAGTAACGTAATTAAACTCAGAATAATTTAAAACACTTTTCTGAATGTGAAAATTTATCAAATCCACTATTCTGACTTATAGTAAAGGCATCAGAGAAGCTTAAAGAAGAAAATTTACCTTCATTGCCTGTCCCCTTCCCACAAAGTTCATCTGACCTGGATGAGAACTTTTTCTATATTAATTAATTGAATGAAAATGTACTGAGTGTGAGTCAGGCTTAGAGGCATACATCTATAATCCCAGCATGTGGAAGGCTGAGGTAGAAGACTGATGAGTTTGAGACCTGCCTGAGCAACAGTGACAAAACCCCAAAGCAAACACAAAAATTGACTATTATAGTTCAAGCACCAGGTTTGAAGAATGGGGGAAATGGGTCAATGAATTATAGTATGTTGGCTAACCTAAACACTCTGTATTTGTGCAACCCACAGGTAAGAACAGCTTTTACATTTTAAAGGAATGAAGTCAAAATTAATTTTTTCACATGAAAATTAGGATTCAAATTTCAGAACTTACAGTATTTTATTACTCAATCACCTCATTTTCATATTTTACATATGATTGTTTTCATGATACAACAGTAGAGTGAGAAGTTGCAGCAGGAATCATACAGTTCTTAAAGCCTAAAGTATTTACTATCTGGCCCTTTGCAGAAAGTAAAATGTTTGCTCAATCTCCAGCTATGTCAACCTCTTACAATCCTTGGATACATGATCATCATAGGTAATTATCATTAAATGAGATAAATGATATGCTTGAAGGAGTATTAAAGATGCTTACTTGTAAAATACTCTTTCCAAGGCTTTCTTTTTTTTTGCTTACTCATCCTAGCTGAAGAATAGAATGCTTGCTATTCTATATTCTTTACTAGGAAATGTTTTCACTTAATTGAATACTTAAGTGATCATTTCATCCAATACATCTATAACTCCATTCAGATACATGCTTATATATCCAAACTCTCTTGATATTTTCCTCAATCTTAAAGGCTCCTAAAATTCAATATGACCAGACTATTTCTGCCCACTCAAACCCCAAAGGTTCCTTGACATTTCATTAGTCATATGTCCATATGAACAAAAGCATGTTAATCCTTCTTTCTCTCATCTTCTATATCCAATCTAGTTAAGATTTTTAAATTTCTTTCCTCTGTTCAAATTTTTTCAAACCACTTATTCTAGTCCAAACAAAAGTAGTATCTGGCTTTGACCACAGGAATTTCATAGCTGACTTTTTCATTTCCACTACAGATACCCTTACCTTTTTCATTACATCAAAACTTGCCCTTCCCCAGCTTAACACATCAGTGGCTTCTCACTATGCTTAGACAAGTAGAAAGAAAATTAATTACTTGGGCTGGGAAAGTGGCTCAGTGGTAGAGCGCTTGCCTTGCCTGCATGAGGCCCTTGGTTCGATTCCCCAGCACCACATAAGCAAAAAGAAAAAAGCCGTAAGTGGTGCTACGGCTCAAGTGGTAGAACGTTAGCCTTGAGCTGAAGAGCTGAATGACAGTGCCCAGGCCCAGAATTCAGGCCCCACGACCGGACCTCCCTCCCCCAAAAAAGAAAATTAATTACTTTTGATGCAATGAAAGCCAAAGCGAATTGGAAGAATATTGGGCAATTATAGCAAAAGACTCTTAAGGGGTCAAGTAAGTTCAAGATTAAAACCACACATGGAAGTTGGGTACTAGTGGCTCATACTTATAATTGTAGTTACTCAGGCTGAAATCTGAGCATTGAAGGTTCAAAGTCAGCCCAGGCAGTTTAATCATGATACTCTTAGTTAAAATTAATCAGCAAAATGCTAGAAACAGAAGTGTGGCTTAAGTGGTAGAACATCAAGCATGAACAAGAAAGCCAGAAGAGAAATGAGAAAGCAAGCCCCAAGATTTCATCTCAGTACTAGCACTAAAAAAAAAGAAAAAAAAAGAAAATACTAGAAAAAATGAGGTATCATTTCATAGAGAGTATTTTTTGTGGGGAAATAAGTTGTTGAAAAGATATAAAGATGGCAAGTGTACACAGCTCGTAAGAACTTTGTAAAGGCAGAAAAGACTGACAAGTAACAACAAAGAAATGCTTTTTTTTTTTACAAGATTAAATGTACTGCAACGTATGTTAATATGAGCCCCTACTCTTTTCAATATTCTAAAATCTTTCCTTCATTCTTCATTTGGAGATAGAAATTGGTAATTAAGAAGAAAGAGGAATGATAACTCTTTTTTTTTTTTTGGGTCCGGTCGTGGGGCCTGAACTCTGGGCCTGGGCACTGTCCCTCAGCTCTTCAGCTCAAGGCTAGCGCTCTACCACTTGAGCAACACTTCCGGCTTTTTCTTTTTGCTTATGTGGTACTGAGGAATCGAACCCGGGGCTTCAGGCATTCAAGGCAAGCGCTCTACCACTGAGCCAACTTCCCAGCCCGAGGGATGATAATTCTAAGAAGCTAGAAAATGGGAACCAGAAGAGAGTTGGAGGGAATTGGAACTGAAAGAAATCTGGAGAAATATCTCCTTCCATTGTTAGGAATATTTTAAGTTTATAGCTTTGATGACATAAAGTTGTAAATGTGATCTAATTTACTCATTATGAAAAAGAGTATGTTATCTACTAAAAGTAAGAATAAGAAGATAAAGAAAAAATCTGAGACATTTTACGAAAGAAAAAGCTGACCAGAGAAAATACTAGAGTTGCCAGGTCAAATACTGATGGCTCAAGGAGACAGGAATGACTATGAATTTAGAGTAGTACCAATTTGTGCTCTTCCCTTCTCTGACTAGTAGTACCAATTTGTGCTATTCCCTTCTCTGACTAGCTGTAAATTTTCCCTCTCTGACTAGCTAGTAAAAAGAAGGCACATTGCTGAATTCATCGACAAAAGAACTTAAGGAACTGACAAGAACAAATGAAATGGGATTCAAACTGGCTTAGAAGAAAATAAAGAATGAAAGGATAGAGAGGAAATAAAGGTATTTATTGGTTTTACAGGCTAGGACTGGGGACATGTAGCTCAGTGGTAATGTATTCTTAGTATGTCCTGTGTTTAATCCTCAGCACCAAAAAAATTTTAAGTCACAGTATGACTAAACAAGCTAGAAATTAGAAAGCAAGGCATTTACAGAACAAGATGCCTGAAATGATCATTTCGTAGTTGCAGTAATTTTGTATGAAACAGACTGCAAAAATTGATAGCTGAAACAGAAAATGTAAGGTGACTGGGTAAAAAGATATTTGTACTGACGCTGGGCACCAGTGGCTCACACTTGTAATTCTAGCTACTCAGGAAGCTGAGATCTGAGGATTATCATTTGAAGCCAGTCAGGGAAGAAAAGTCCATGAAATTATTTTGTCCAATTAGCCACTAAGTGAAGCTGTGGCTCACTTTC